CAGCCAATACTTAAATCAAAACACAACAATTTGGATCCGTCATTTGCTATGTTACGTAACAAATGTCGAACACAGAGATCGGAGACATTCAATTGTTCTTTGTATTCTATTGACTCTGGCCCAAAAATTATCTCAGAATATCTAAATTGTTCCACTTACCTAAATTGTGTTATGTAGTCTTCTAAATTTGTCTGTTTTTTTTATTATCTAACTTGTTTCTACATTTTGTTTACCGAAATCCATTATGTTTGGTTTTTGAATAATGTTTTGTATTAACTTTAGTACTAGAATAAGACATTTTTTTAAAACCATATATCTGGGGAAGAAACAAAAAAAAATTAAAATTTCAGAGCTTCATCCTTACATATTAATTGGTTAAGTAATACCTTATACATATGTAAATTGAAATACATATATTTACATAAGTAAAAATCTCAAAAATAAATGTTTAAATTAATCTGACACGCGTGCAAAAATTGTCTTTTATATAAAGCTTGAATATTTATTACAATAATCCTTCAATTAATGAAAAAATTAATCCAATTTCTGTCACGAAATACGTGTCAAAAGTAGAAAAAGTATTTTATTTTAATCCATTTTTAATACTTGAAACTTCCTTTTCATGCTTTCTTTGTTGAAAAAGCTGCTTGTAGAATAAATAACTTATTAATTCATTACTTTCACTCAAAAGCTTTTTTAGATAATTGTATGTGAAAATTTTCATCATGCAGTTGCATATATACATTTTAGATGTGATACAAAAGTAGAAATATACTTTGTTTTTAATACATTTTATTTATAAACTGATAAGAGGTGTTGAGTAATTAGGTGTGGGAGGCATTTTGTTATACCCATTAATAGTCTGTCTCATGACCTTTTTTTAGTAACTCATTAAACTTTCTGGAAGATTAATACATTCTTGTGTACGGGGTTTGTGATTCTTTGTTCCCCAACTGATCGGTTGTGTGCTCCAAGTGATAGAACTTTAAAAAATATATATGTAAAGGTATACATAGCCATGAATTTTAATAAACCATTATAATTTGTATACATTAATATTTCTTATCTAGTAAGTAGATTGCATGCTTGATATATGAAGTAGGAAATTTTCTCAGCACAAATTTATAAAATGTTTAATAAATTATTTTTTTGAGTTCTGATTGATTTAGCAGGAATGTTTTGACATAAAATTTAATAGGTTACTCATTTTCAATACCATTTTTCAAAAACTAGATTATTATTACTGAGTAATTCATGTTAAAAACATTTAAAATAAACAAATAGAAATATAAGAATGATTCTAAATTATAGTTATTCTCTAAATTCTAATTATTTATCGAGAATTTTAATTTATAATAATTATAAATTTAACTTTGTGAGGGACGTGATTCAAAATCTAAATATTTAAAATATTTGTGTGGCGAATGATGTCAAAGGGTAAATTCCAATTTTTATTTCGAAACGTGCAAGTGCATTAAAAATTCTTGATTCTTTTATTGCCTTGGTTTTTGTTGTTAACATCTTTAAATAATAACTATAAAGTTGCATGAAACATTTGTTATCGTGGTGTGATACTGACTCATCGTAACAGGAGAAATTATTTTACTACTGCTCCAGAGTTGCTGACAATTAATTAGGTTAGGTAATTGCTTATAATTTAATTAACTAAACTATTTCCTGATTTCATATTTATCAAAGTAATTGGAAAACTAGTTTAAATTATTTTATAATGTCAAAATCAGTTATAAATTTTACTGTTAATACTCTCTTGATTTATATTGAGTATTGTGCATGGAATCTGTATGTTACAACAAATTTTTTATATCAACAATTTATTTTTTCTTTTAATATTAATCTTCAAATATATAATTTGTTTCTTTGATTTTCTTTCTAAAATGTTAAATGTCAGCAAGGTACTGAATTGCAGAAAAAATTGTCAAATTAAAACTCTTCTGGGATTTAACTATGAATTATTCAACAATATTTTAAAATATTTCATTTAAAAATACAAATAAGATTACAAAATTATATTACTGCATTTGCGTTAGCTATTACCAGAATGCATTCTAACTATTGGCAGATTAGATTCTGATTTGTTAAATTATTTGGGTTGTTTAAATGTGTTTACATTATTAAAATTTGTTTACAAAACTTGTTTACTTTTGGCAGATTAAATAAATTCCCTCAGGAATGGAGAGCTTTTAAATATTTCAAAAGAATTCCTCTAAAAATGGTTTTTGTTTGTGCATATTTTAAAGATACTCAGATTAGTGATGCAATCCAGTTATCAAAATAGAATTTTAAGTTAAAGTTGTTATAAATCAAATAATGTTATTGCGCATATCAATTGCACATTATCATTATTTATTGATAGAATATTTATAGTTTGCAATTACGGGCTATTCTCGTGAGTTCATTTCTGTTCTCTAAACTGTAGATTGTCTATGCGTTATGAAAAGCAATTATAATGGAAGCAAAGAATGCTTGGTTCTAAATATAATTGATCTTAAATCAATAGGTTAGTAAGTCGAGAATATCAGACTCGGTATTCATTTAAGATGTATGCTCTGAAAATTTCTTTGTTACTTCAAAACAATCTCTCTATTAATACGATCAAAATTAAACACAATAAACTATGACAATAACAGGGTTGTTGTTAATGCAGTCAATATGTTATTTTATGTAAGTAATAATTGAACAAAAAAGGAAGTAGTTAAGGTTTTAAAGTTCATTGTATATTAGAGCAGATGAAATTGATTTTCACTTTGTCTCAATGAACTTCATTATCCAATATTAGTCTCTTCAGCTAGAATAGCAGAACTGTTGCTGTATCTTTTATGATGACAATCTGATGATCATCATAATTTGTCTTTTCGTTTGATACTGCTCTAATTCTGTCAATACATTTGATAGATTTATATTTGTATAGTACATATTTAGAAGTTTTCTGCTTTGAAATGCTTCACTTCACACAGGACTACAGTTTTCCTAAGATTTGATATAATGTCTAATTTCTTTTAACCTCTACTTTTACCCCAATATTCCTAACCAAATTATTTTAGGATTGGTTATCATGAAGTTTCTAATATTAGAAAATAGTCTTTTGGAATGGAGCAACCATCATCGGATATATATATTAAAATCCTCTTTACAATGAAAAATTGCCTCTCTAATTAAATTTTTATTGATCTCATGATCTCAAGTATTTACTTAATTTTATTACAGCATCTGTTAATGGAAAAGACTAATAATTACCTTTATTAGAGAACATCATGTTGTCATTTTATAGCTAAGATGGTTCTTTAAAGATATTGGAATTTAAATTTATAGAAAATTTTCTTAACATACAACAATTCTATATTAATCTGTCTTTAAGAATGCAAAACACTTTGTCATGATATTAACTTATAATTATGTTTATTAGCTTTAGATACATTTAATTACTTTTGTATTTCTGATTCTTAACTTTGTATTTTAATTCCCTGTTTTTGAATTACAAATAGTTTTATTATATTTAAATTTGAAAAATTACTTTTAACACTGATGATTGGTTGGTTCTATATTTTGAATTACTTTGAACCTGAGTCTCCTCCAATAAAGTAACAGATTTTTTTCAATCTTTAACATTTAATGCTTCACAGAACATAATCAGTAATTGTTAATAATTTTCTGTAATTAAAAAAAAATGTTAGATTTAAGAACTTTAAAAATGTTTATAGTTTTTTACGTAGTAACAATTATTAGTTTCCATTCAATAGATAATCTATTAAAGTATTAACTTTGAAAATTAATGGTATGGATTTTCTATATAAAATGATCCACATAATAATTTAGACAGATAAAGTAGTAAAATCTACCCTCTGAAAAACTATACATTTGTTGTTAATTGGTATTTTGAAATAGTGTCGTCAAATTAACATTCTAGTTTTATTTTTTGATATGAAAGATTTTAGTAAAAAAATAAGCTCTTAAGTCTAAAGATTCTATTGCATTACAACCGATTACATTATGGAAATTGCTTTGGATCAATTTTAATTTCATTAGTTCTTTCCAGAGTTGCGTGCAACGTGTCTTCGTATTTGGTATTTCTCTGTCATGCATATTTAAAATTAAAACTATTTAATTTTTTGATAAAATTTTTAGACAAAGAATGAAGAATAAAGGTATTTTTATTGGGGTATTGTGATATTTAGTTAATGAGAATAATGTATAATTTTGTATGTCTTGTTAATTTATATAATTTTCTTCAATGTAAATTAATTTAGACAAATTATTTCTGAATTTGGTTTTGATAAATTAAAAATTAGATTTAGTAAATGATGATTTATTTTTCATTCTTAAAATAATTAAGGTTTAATGTATTAAAACATTTCTGGAATGGCCTGTTTTTTTTACTTTTATGTAAAAATACATTATATAAGTTGCTTTTTTTTGTATTTTTAATTAAAGTTACTTTCGTAGAGATACACAATATTAAAAATTCAAAATACTGATTTGTGCCAAATAATCTGAATTCTAGATATTGTAATTAAAGTTTAAAATCTTTTTATCTGAGATTTATAATTTTGTAATTTGTGTGTGTGAATGTATGTATGATCATATCACAGACTGCTGATAATTTAAATATAAACTGTAAAGAAATATGAATGTTATCATTTGTTTATTCTTCATTTGCTTTTCATGACAATTTACATTTAAAAATTTTACTGACTTTTTTAATTTTAATTTAAAAAAAAAACTAGAATTACAAAACACTCAAAATGTATGTAAGATGTGGGAAGAATAGTTAAAGAAATGAATGATAGTAATAGTTAATGAATTTTTCTTTTTTCTTAGTAAATTATGATTTTTGTTAATAAGTTTTGATTATAATTATTAGTACATTTTATATTAAATATCAATCTAGATTAAGAACAGTTTAAAGTTAGTCAATTTGAAAATTTATTTTTAATAAATATACAGTGTTTCAGTTTATGTCAATTTATTATTTTTTCTCTTAGGCCAACTCAAATATGAATTTAAAACAGAATGTTCAGGATGTTGTAGCGACAAAGAAAGTCGAACCGTGCGTCTGATCAAAGACGAAAAGCTTGGATTGGGAATAACCATCACCTGTGGAAATACTTTGGATTCTATTCTATGTGGCGCTCTCGTCGAAAGTATTAAACCAAATGGTCCCGCTTACAAAGAAGGGTCATTGAAAATAGGTTAAGAAAACGTTTTTTTATTATTTACTTACTAAATGAAAGTTTCAAACAATTCATAATGTTGTAAATTGCTTTTAATTCAAGGCCAATGGAAAACTTATGTTTATGTTTCAATTTAAAATTCATACAATTGTTTCATTTTTAGAAAGCCTTGAACCTAACTCAAGATAATATATATTTTGTGTGTTAAAATGATTTCTATAACACACAAAATTCACTTTTGTTTGTAAGTGTATACATCTCTGTGTAGATAAGACCTTCTGCTCTATTTTTTGCAATGTGGATACTAAAATTAAACCTCAGTACATTCACAATAGAACTGACAGATAATAAAATGAGTACAATTAGATATAAAAGAATTAACCTAATTCTTATTTTGTTTTTGAGGTTCAAAAATAATTATAAGTCAACAAAAGTTCTGCATTGATTAAAATGAAATGACTGATACCAGTTTTTAATTTTAGATTTTATTTAAATACAATAATACACCAGTTAAAACAGATGGTTCATATGAAATTAGAGAATCATCTCTCTTATTCTTAATCTTATATCGAACCTGTTTAAAATAGACAATTCTAAAAAGTATGATGCATATAATAATATCTTAAAGATTTTCTATTTTCTTCTAATACTATTATAAGTAAACACTTCTTTGACCTATACTATTTTTATAAAATTTATCTATTATCCAAGTAGAAATTTTCATTATTTTACTGATTTCCAATTTACAAATTATTAAATTAAATTTTCCAAAAAACATTGTGAAGCTTGATACATATATAAAACATAACCAAATGATTGCCTTAAATAATCGGGCCAGTTCTTTTCTTCCAGATGATTCTAAATTATTTATTGAATTATTAATATTATAATTATTAATTTAGTTAGTTAAGATATGGCACATAACGTCAATCTCTAGCAGCAAATTACTTAGTATTAATCATTAAATTAGCGGAGTTATAACCTGATTATTTAAGGCGATTGTTTGGTTATGTTTCCAAAAACTTTAATAATAATGTGACACTTGGTTAATACGTAGACCAAATGTTAAACCAAATTAAAACTAAGGCATTGCTACTAAAACTATTTCATATGTTTGTATATAGTCAGCCTATTGTTTAATAAAGAAAATCTGATAAATTCTTAAAATAACTAATAAAATCAACTGTAATTTATTAAAAAATCTATTAATTTTATTTGAAAATACATATTGTATTGTTTATATTAATTATTCTTTCATCCAAAATTTTGTAAAATCCATATCTTTCTGCATTTTCCTTCCCATTTAATTCTTTCAATGATCTCCCTATCAATTTTTCTGTTTCTATAACTATTTGTTCTCTATATTTTGTTTTAATGTTACAATTTTTTCTTGGTATATCCTTAAATTTCTTAATCTTTGTTTATAAGGTTCTTTTGGCTGCTTCTATATTTAAATTCTTTGTTCTTTTGTTTATTTTGTGTTGTTTTCATATATATATATATATAACTTATGGTTTCTTTTTTATTTATCATTTTTTTAGGGTTTTCTTAATATTGATCTTATTCTTTGTTCATTTACTTATATGTTTATAAAAAGTTGTATTCTAATCAGAGATAAAATGTAGTGTGACCACTCTTAACTTTTTTAATTTCCTTCATCAAAAATTGAATCAATCAGTTTTCTTCTAGCATCTTTTCTTCTTTTTCTTCTAGCATCTTTTCTTCATTTCTATGTACTTTTGCTAACTTAAACTGTTCTGATTCAATCTGTAACATCTATTCCATAGAAGTTATCAGGAGAATATCTATGGTTTGTTCAGATCATGGATATTCTCCAGATTTCAGGGTCACAGTGTGCATTAGCGTATGTATTAAGTGTTTTTCCTTGTATACTAATATTTCAAATAAATTCATAGACCCAGAAAATTCACTCTAATGACACTTTCTTCTACTTTAACTCTAGCTCCAGGGTAATATCAAAAAACATAACTTAGAAACCTTGTTATTTTTTCATTTAAATGAAAGCATTATATGCATACTTAACATATTCTAAAATATTTTAATATTAAATAACAGTATTCTATAAGCAAAAGAATGAAAATTTGAGTATGTAGGAGCATTGGAAACAAGGTTTAATGAACACACAAGGAGAGGATATTATAATATATTATTTGGGAAGATATGGATGAGAGAGAAATAAATAAGAAATAAAGTACAAAATTGTTAAATTATTGGTGCATTGAAGTGGCTAATTACATTAAAAAAAGGGGGAGAATAACTCTTTACTGCAGAAGATCAAAAGAAACCTTATTAAATAATAAAAATAAGAAATGTTTTAAAAAATATTGTAAGAAAAAGAGATTATATATTTCCAGTTGAAAATAAAAATAATTTTAAATATTTTAATGCTAACTTAATAGAATATTAATTAGTCTCATTGTTCTGAAATTTTGAAATAAATTAATTAAAATATTTATTTATTTTTTAGGTGATCATATAATTTCTGTTAATGGAGAATTTGTACAAAATGCTCATTATCTAGATGTCGTTGATATGATCCAGAATTCTCCTCCTACTGTGGAATTAACAGTTCGATCTCATTATGAAAACATCTTAATATCTGATGATAAACAAACTTTGAATGAATCTCAATCTTTAGATAATTTTCAAAATATAAAGGTAATGGTTAAGTTTTTAATTAAATAAATAATGCTGATAAGTAAGGTGTAATTGCCAAATTAACTAGCCTGCATGTTATAGAGCTCATTGACATAATTCTTGTGAATAGATCATACTAACAAATGTTAATTATAAAACTAATCAAAATATTTCTAATGCAATTCAGTCAGTCTATTGGTGTGTTAACTCATGTCAATAATAGTAACTATTAAGTAATTTAACTGAATTGATTAAACTTGAAAATCTCAAAGAACAAGTTAAGATACACAACTCAGCTATTTTATATATATATATATAATAGCTTTAACTATCAATACAACATATCACTGTGTTCAATTATAAGTAATTAAATAATATTTGAGTTAATAAAAATGTGCAGATTTTAATTACATTACTTTATTACACTATAAAATTATATTTAAAAAGACATACAAAGTCATATACTTCATTTTTATGTTTGAATTCTGTTCAATACAGAGATAAAGCACTATCATATCAACAAATATATAATTATGAACTATATTTATGTTTCAAAGATAATCTTTTGTGAAGTAAACAAATGAATTTATATTCAATAAATGTAAATTGTTGGATATTTCTACATATTTATAGAACTTAATTCTTGCTTTACTTATTTAAAATATCCAAATATCTATTATGTTATTATATATTGGATGAACTTTAAAAATGTTAATAAAAGTAAAGATCAAATATTTTTTGACAATAAAAAATGATTAAGTTAACTTTTAAACAAATTAGTTTTGACTGTTTAATATAAATAATAAATTAAATATTAAAACAAAATGTTCTCTGTTTATAATAATAAAATTAAATACAATGTGTATGTATAATTCCATAACTGCAGTTAAAAGAACCATCATGGGATGAGTATCAGGATGTTGTAAACAAGTCAACATTTTCTAATTCTTATAATGGCCAATGTAAGTTAATTTTATATATTTATTAATGAAATCATGAAAAAAATTTAATTGAAAATTTTAGAATAATTAATTGAAAAATATTTTTAAATTATCATCAGTTTTATATGATCATATGGAAATTTGATTATAAAATACTATTCAAAATAAATTTTTGTTTTATAATTAAATTTGTATCTACTGTAATCCATTAACAGTTTTGAAGGCAGACACTAAATACTATATAAAAAATTTGATCTTGCAATATTGCAAGCATTATTTAATTCCTATAAATTCATTTTTAGATTAAAGCAATTAGAGTCTAATTATGAAATTCTAAAGCAGAAATTATATCAATAAATTATTCCAATTTTGTTGACAAAAATAAAATATTCAATTGCTTTATTAAAACACTAAGGTTGTGTGCTTTCCAATATTTTTTTATCTTCAGGATTATTAAAATAATTGAAACATATAAACATTCCCAAATTTAAAACAACTTGGCATTTACATGGTTGTAAATCAGAAAAATTCATCAATAAGCAATAAATAAAAATTTTTTTCAGAAGATATCTGGCAGTTTTTTAGTCAATTAAGAATGATGGAAGCTACAGGATGTTTAGCAGAAATTATATGTATTTTATCCCTCATTGGATAGGATCAGTATTAGCAAGGATTTTTTTCTGGGAATTACTAAGAGAAAAATAGGAGACTTAGAAGTAGAGAGATATGTAATGACAAAGATAGATATACAGGCTTTTATAAAGGCTGTATATCTATCTAGTCATTGTGTGTTACTGTATGATATATTCTCTCAAGCAACATTATACTCACTTCTATGAATTAAAACAAGAATAAGAGTTGTTAAATATACTAATGATGATTAATTGTACTTTTCTACATTTTTGTGTTTTTGTAATTCCAATGTTTTTAATTACTAACTAGACATTTTAGTGAATTTTATATACAACTAGTAAAGCTTTTATATCTTTATAAACTTTGGTATAACAAAAAACATTCTTGTACCAGAGTTGGATATTGTAATTTTAATAAAAATGTCAGGAGAAATAAATTTAATTTTATGATTTTGCTTATTTATTTTTTACATTTGAATTTAAATTTTATATTAATTTGCTACTGTTTTAAGTTAAGAAATTAGTCAAAATTACCTAACGACATTTTTTTTGATTTAGAACCATTGAAATGTATGTGTGTCTTTTCCTCTCTCTCTCCGAAATGAACAAAATTATTTAGAAAAGTCTGATTTTTAATAAGTTTTATGTTTTAATGAAGCAATTTAATGTTATTTTTGTTGGATTTTTTTTCTTCTGGATTTTAAAACATTCAAAATTGAAATGTAAACAAAAAATTATTACAAATTTATGAAATAAACAATTAAATAGTGATTAATTAATGAATAAAGTGTGAAATTATATATAAGTAAGTCAAATCTACCTCATAAAAAAAATTGAGATTCAAGTTAAAATTTTAGAATTTATACTTTATTATTAATTAATGAACAATAATGAACATTCACTCAGTACAGGAATTATTTTTTCACATTTACAAATGTAACTAATTGTTGGGATGATGATAAGATTCATTAGGTGTATGATACATGTCTTCATTTACATTTTAGTTGTTCATGTTTTATTAATATTAATAATTATAAATTGTCTCCCTTCAATTTTGACTTTTAAAGCTTAGAAATATGCTGAACATGAAATTGTTAATATAAATCTAATATAATTAATTCAAAATAACACAAGTATAATAGACAAATTTTATTCTTACTGAGTTGGATGTTTTGTAAACTTATTAATACTATAAATGAAACTTTAATATACAGTAAATATTTTATAACTACATATTAACCTAACTAATAATGTGTATAAATATATATATAATTTTTTAAATTTTATAAAGCATCTAAAAGTGATCCTCCCATTCCCAAACCACGAAAGAAATGGTCTGAAAAGTCTAAGGTCTCTGAATCAAATTATACTTCAAACGATTCAAAGTATTCTGACACAGACAGAGTTGATACCATTGGAAAATCTATAGCCCAAGTTCACAAAATTACAACCAAAAATGTATTAAATAATAAACTTGGGCAGAAATCTCAAGAAGAGTCTAGTAAGGAAATCTGTGATAATGAAATTGGTAATGTCTTTGGAGAATAATTACAATTGAATGTAAAGTTAAGTATTTATTATAATTAAAAAAATATATGCTCTTTTTTACAGATTCTGATCTTCAAAATAACAATCAGTACCATGATATAAAAGAAATAGAAGATGAGAATAATCATTTAAATAAAATAGAAATGTTACCTTCTGGGAATATTATCTCTCTTGATTTGAAAAAGATGGAGGAAAATTTAGATCTAGAGGTAAGAAAATTCATTCTGGATTAATTAAATATTTGACTGATATTTAGCATAAACTGTATTTCAAATATGTAAATCAAACTGTAAGATTTATATATTTGGTCAATGTTTTTCTTCTTTTTGGAAGAACAAAATATAACATTTTTAATTTCTAATAAGATGTCATCCCTAACTTTTTGATCAAATTATATTAATAATTTGATGATAGATTCTTGACTATGGAGAAATTATATAATAATCTTGTTATATTAATATAATTTTCCATTTGCTTAAATTTAATAAAACACTATGTATCTATCTACAAGATTATAGCATTTATATTCAACACAAATCAAAAATTCACTTAACTCTTTTAATGCCAATTGACGTAATTTTATGTTGTGATTCTCCTCACATGTCAATGATTTGAATTTACCAAAAACTTCGGGCACCATTCAGATGCTGAAAGTTTGTGTTCCCATTATTTTCAGTGCTATTACCAGGAAGTGTAAGAAACATTTCAGATATGGAAACCAAGCAATAAAATATTAAAATATTGCAGGACATATTTAATGATAATGGTTTTTCATAATTTGTTCTCTATGGGTAGATGCACACATAATTGCATAAATATTGCTTGAAATGAAAACAAAAATTTACTTAAAATCATTTTAATGGTTTCTGAATAAAACACTTTTATTTAATTATTTTGCTGTTTACTATTTCTTAGTATTTATTTGTTGGCTTATCACACAACAAGACCTATTTGTATCTCCTTTATTATTCTATTAATTACAAAGTAGACAACAAACCTGTATATTTTTTTGTCTTCTAAAATGCATTTTGACTGTTTCACGCAGCCCTCTTCAGTTATGTACAACTTGCCAAATTATGATAAATAGTAAACAGTAAAATAATAATTGGACTAGAAGCTGGTTAATAACACCTTTATTTGTAAAATAATTTAAATTTCATCATTGCAGATGTCACCATTTGAATGCAACATCTGTTGTTATAGATAATTCTATTTTTTAGTGTGCAGTAGTTGTATATTTAGGGGTATGAATTTTTGAATTTTTCTATTTAAGAAAGATTTGCCATCCTGCATTTCTCTGTTTATTTTAATATCTATTGTCTGTTGATTATTTTTCCATTTATATTTTAGATTTATGATTTTCTTTAGAAAGATAAATTCATATTCTGTTGTTGTTGTTTTTCACACTTTTAGAATATATTAATAATACAAATTTCATATTTATTGCACAGTTAACTGAAATACAACTACTAGAATAAGTTTTGTTTTGTCATAATAAATGTTATTACATTAATTTAAAAAACTTTAAAATACTAATATATTGTTAACTTTTAAAATAAATTCTATATAATTGTTTTCTATGGATAACTCTAATTTTAATCTGAAATAAGCAAAATATTGTTGAAAAATTGCTATCTGATTTCTAATTTTTTTTTAGTTTGATATTAGGTTTTACATTTTGCATATCATTTTCTCCAAAACAAGCTTAGAGGACAAAGCTTGTGAAAGAAACTGCATCAAAATGCTATTGAGGCACTGACACTGAAACAAACCTAATAAAATCTACAAACAGTTTATTATTACTAGGCAATCTTTCTTAATTATTTTCCAGCAACAACTTATAATATATATAAAATTTTAAAAACTTATCCTCAAAGAACATCTGCAGAAATCACCATTATTCCAAAGAAGATATAGAAAAAAAATTAAGGAAGAAGAAAATGTACAAAAAAAAATTATCAAATAATTTTACAAATCTTCAATAGGTAGTTGATTTGGCAGTTAATGTATTAGAGAATATTCCCTGTTGGTTGATGATGTCAAAGATAAATATTTTGTGCAATATATATGAGATATATGCATTAATATAATGTGTTTGTGAAATACATTTAGCAAAATTAAGTTTTTGGAACTTCTAATCCAATTATACAAACTGAGTATCCTTATTTATGCCTTTTTTTTTGAAGATTTGGAACAAACATATTCAATTTTATATGTAAATTTGTATAATGTCTTTAAATTATTTTTTTTTTATTTACATATTTTATGTAAAACTTTTCATTCAAAACATAACATTTTATAATTAAAAGTAACTCGCCTTTTCTTCAAATTTTGTATTTAGATTTAAATTTTTTAGAATGTTTGAAGTTAAATTTCATTGTCAGCATGACAAAAACTTGTTTATGGAAATAAAAGTATGTAGTGGAAGTACATTGTCATTGCTGTGGTGCAAATATCTTGTGAAGTGTCACCTTTAGGTCATAATCATTAACTTTTTTAATCATTATCCTCCATCTCATTCAGAACTAAAATCCTATCATAAATAGTGAGTGGCTAATAATAATCTAATAACTCTTTAAGCAAAAATGTTTGTGTTTTTTTCTTATGTTTAAAATTCATCAATTTTAGGGAATAATTTAGTTTAATATCATAGTTAACAGTGACGTGCCATGACATTTGATGATAGGGAAGCTGTGTTTCTGTAAGAAGCTGACTTCAGGGGCAATCAGTTAATTGCACATCAGTGATGGTCTAGGGTCCATTCGTACGTGTGTGGTGGCAGAAGAGAGAAGTATCTGACAAACCCGTTTATTTTAACATAAAATAAACATACACTATGTACAAAATAGTTTGCTTTAGGACAATCAGCTGTTTGGACTTCCTGGGCGTCAATGTGGTTCTTTGATCGTTGATTGAAGGTGGTCCTGGGACAGTGGCATTGACAAGTCTGTAAGGCATGGGGAAACTTTGTCTGTTGGCGTTAGGTACACGGTCTAAGTCTGAAGTGACATGGGTTACAGGTTGGCACAATAGACAAGAAACTGCTTTTTTTGCACATTGACACATGGCATTTTGGTTATTCGGAATGTTAACCGAGTGTGAGGTGTCCTTGATTGTTGGGGATTATATCAATCTCTGTTCTTTCTTTCATCCATTTTGATTGGTCGTTCTCCCTCAATCGCGCTTCCTGAGTGGCTGGTCCCTCATTACTAAGCGTAACGAGACTACTACCTGGAGCACAAGAAAGGTCAAAACCGAAGATGAATTTGATTTCCACCAATCATAAGACAACATCCTTCTGCGATTTATAATTTCTGTGTCGTAGTTTGATATAAACAATGGGTGTTCAACTACAAATGACTTTTTCCTATGTTTTTTTAAACTAATAAATTTTTCTCTAATCATTTTTTCACGTCTTTCGTGATGGTTTGGACCTGTCCAGAACCTCACATGTCCATAAAAATTTTAAACAAATACTGGAAATGACAAAAATAAACAATTTATGTACTTTAGTTCTAAAATACAAATAATACATGCTTCATACAAATTGATATGATATAAACAATGATAGAAAAACTTGTTTTTTAATTTTTTATAAACTAAGAAAAAGAGCTCTCAAATACGTTGACTCCGTCAACGTATTTGAGAGCTCTTTTTCTATTGAAAGGAACACTAGAGACAACAATTTTTCCTTCAACTGAGTGTTCCTATGGTTGAAAAACTGTGCTAAACAGATGCACTAGTAGATGGTACCATAAAAATTAATGATATTAAATCATATAATTCTTTTAGTACATCTTGTTCGGATCATCATGAATTATTATACTTTTTATGTCTAAGAGTTACCTGTCAATATAGTCTGGACATGAATACAAATATTGCGATTCACTATGTAATTTAGATAAATCAAAAAATTCCCCATAAAATTTACTTAATTTAAAGAATTAAAACTCGCTTGGAAAAATTGTTTTTCATAATAATTAAAATTATTAACATCTAAAAGTGATGCAAATTCTAAAGATTTTATGTCTGAAAATCTGTCAATATAATTATAATTAAATATAACTTTGCAAAGAAGCATACATAAAAATAACATTGAATATTCTTTACTTTTTAAATTTTAAAACAATTCACTTAGTCAAATAGCTCCCTACCAGTGGCTAAGGGATAGAATCATTGGAAGCATTATGGTATGTAGCGTCCACCAGATGTGCCATTGCCTGTAAATTGGCTGCTTTACACCATTCAAATATTTTCACCCTGGAAGCTGACATTGCAGCGCTTCCATTGGAAATATGTATATGAATTTAGATTTGAATATACAATAGTGATCTTATTGTTGTTTCTCACAGATATTTCATTATTATTATTATTATTATACTGCATTATTATTTTATTACAGATTTCATATAGAAATCTGTAATAAAATAGATAATGCTGTTATAATAAAATATTAATTTTAAGTAATTCAAAGTATGTTCAAATATGAAAATAATCGTGCAGTATGTATTTATATTTTAGAAAATACAAGGGAAGTGGTGCTTCCACAGCTTCCAATGATGGCACGCCACTGATAGTTAATATTAACAAGTTCATGAATTGTTCCAAAGACATTGATTTAGGCTGAAAGACTCCAATAAACAGGTTCGAGTTAATAAGTTAAAGACTAGTAAATTTTAATAATCTAAAATAGAGTAATTGCTCCCTTTATGCAAGTAATTGGTTCTACAAAAACAGCTCATAAATGGAACCATGGAAAACTGTTTAAAATAGGGATCTGTTTCATATCCTCAAGTACAGTGTTTTATTCTTACTGGTAGAAAAGTTTTAACTGAAGTTTTTTTAAATATATGTGTATATAATAGGTTAATGACAACAAAAAGCACACTTTTTGATGTAACTACCATTTATTTCCATAAAGTTGATTATTTAAAATTTAAAAATTGTTCAACCACATTAAAGTGAATTCATGTAAATGGAGGAATTACTGTAGATATACTAGTCTTTAACATATTTCAATATTCTAATTTAATAATGACCTCTTGGTTATATTAACTCTAGCCTGTTTATTGGTGTCTTTAAGTCTAAATCAATGTGTCTTTGAAACAATTCATGAACTTATTAATTAAGATATTATTTAAACTAAATTATTTGCTAAAAGTACATAATATAGTATACATATAATATGTTCTGTGAATTATTTTTAAGATTCTGGTAGCCATAACATTGTAGCCTGACATAGACAAAATTCTTTATCTCTTAGTGTGTCTGTTGAGCATCAGATGGCATTATCTTCTTAGAAATTTAAAAGAGAATCAATTGTTTAGAACCATGTGGTGCATTCAGTTTGGAATTTTCAGGTGTATTCAGCAAGGGAATTCTGAGCATGTTTTTGTAGTATATGTGAATAAAGTTACATATGTCATGTAATTATAATGACGAGTTGGACAAATCCAACAATGATGATGATAGCAATAATTTTTTTCATTTTATCTCTCCCTGTAAAACATGCACATATAAGATTAAACACAATCCATACAAGTTGAAACCCACAGTTCTCAAAACTGACAAATATTGCTTAATATTCCTGTTTGCCTAGTTTAGTCAATTTTTTAATGCTTCTTAGAATATACCATAAAATAGTGAAAATTAGCCCACACACAGGGAAAGAATTGTTCTCAAGGTCAGCAGGATTACAGTAGAGTCCTGTATAACATACAAATAAAGCAAGCAACACCCTTGAATTTTGTCAATCAGAGGTATACGTTTTTTTCAACTTATAGACCAATGTTTAAACTTTCATAAATCATGTGATAATGCAGGTTTCGATAACGCGATTTTCTATAATGCGCAACGAATCCCCCGCATTGTACTGGTCTCTATTGTAGTGTTAAATCTTTGTATAAGATTTAAATATATTTGTTCCCTTGTGATAGAAAAGATTATCCATCATTTTTTGAATCTGGATAGGATAGTGACTATTATGAATGTCATTGTGAGCAACTTCTCCTATTGGCTATGCTTTCACAGAAAATTTTTCAGTATAAACTTGCTTCTTAATTTTTCTGTTCAAATTTGGCAAAAATATTAGAAAAATCTTTATCTGTATTTTGTTTGTCTTAAAACAACAGAGAGATTGTTCTGCTTTCTTCACACATTGGTGCATTTTAAAAAGATTACACTATTGAAAATGATATACAGCAATTCCCAATCTTTAGCTTGTCTGTCTCTCTTCAAAATCAGATTTAAGTCACCAAACCCTTTCTATGATACGAAATAAGAATATATTGTAAATAGGATGAAATAAATAAGTATTAATTAATTCCTATACTGTATTAAACACAACTGAAATTTAGAAATTCAAAAGTTTTGTAGTTTGTTTCACTATACTAAAATTTAAAGATATTATTAATTGATACATGTTTTTTATTACTATTATACTTTATATTTTTATATATGATTTTAAAAATTATCCACCAAACCCTCTCCAAATGACCCCAATAACCCCTTAAAGGTTGCTAGCAATAAAGTTGGGAACCTTGGTACAACAAATATGGAATATAGATGAAAACAATTCCCTCAATGTGCTGGCGATAGTGAAAGTTTGTTCCCTTCTAAGACAAATATAGAGGGAGCTTGAAAATATTGAGTCCAAATTTAAACAAGTTAACTGTCCAAGAATGCATCTAAAATTATGTTTTTAGTGAAGAAAAACAAAAGTTTCATTTAGAATGTGTGTGCTTGACACACAAAGTGAAACCTTATCAGTTTATTCGTAAAATATTTATTTAGCTTTTGTGTAATGTTATTGTTACAAAATTTAGTTTGCATGTTTTACTTATCTTGCTTGTTCTTCTCTATCTACCTATGATAGAATTTCAATTCATCTTTTGACATCCAGCTTCCATCTTAGTTCCTTACTAAACTACTATCTCCTTATTCAATAACCTTTTATTCTCCTATTTGAAATTTATAACTTCAATTAAGTCTTAGAGAACAGCTTTTATGAACTTTCCTGATAATTGACTGAACCTTGATTATGCTCACATTGTTAACAAAGACAAATTCTGGTTATGTTATTGATAATTCTCAATTGAATAACCGTTCATTTTGATTTTACAAATTCTAGTCTTGCCATTAGATATGTGGGAAACAAAAAGTTTCTTTGTCATCAAAACTAGACTACAATAATTCGGCTGCAATTTGAAAAAATTGCAGCCGAATTATTCTAATGTTTTTGATACTGTGTTTTATATCAAAATTCTTCTTGTTTTGTTTTTTATTTTCACCTAACTTTGTTCTTGTTCATTCTCTTAATACAGTAATACTATTCACTTTTTTGTTAAATATGTTAAAATAGACAAATGAACACAGCAAAAATTGTAAGTTTGTTACAAAAGAAAGATTAACATCAAATTTATCATTTAGAGGAGATAAAGATAAGGTGGTGAATAGGTGATAAATAGGAAAAACATCTCTCTTATTACAAGCCTGTTTCAAATTTTATGAATTTTATTCTATTATCTTTTAAGGATTTAATAATAATCTAAAATAGAATTTAATGAAATTTCATTTAAGTTTTCTAAAATTGATAAAGTAACAACTTATAAAATTGCAAATCATAAATCATATTTTTCTGCTTGTGATGAAACTTTGTTATCAATACTATTCTGATTTAGAAATAATAAAATTATGTAATTGAAGAATTATCAGTGACAAGTAATACTTTTGTAATCATTTTCATTCTCTTTAAAACTGTAAAAATTTCTTTGTAGCATAATAATTTTTTATACTTTATTTTGTTTTTTAAATTTTAACAGATAAACATGATAACAACCCAAATAATGTAATAAATGAAATTCATTATTGCTATTATTGTCACTGTACTGATAAGTGTAAACTTTATCTCTAGGCAAAGGACACGTCGCTTCCAGGTTTAATCTCCGTACGTTCTCTCCTTTTCAAAGAATCTACCGAACCAGACGAAAGAATACAGCCTGGTGAGTCTAACTGTAGTTAAAATCCAGTTTTTATTATATATATATATAAAATAAAGCTACATATTAAAATATGTTTATCTGAGTACATATCATGTAGAGAGGCAGATATATGAGGATATAATAAAATTTAGTAATCTTATATTTTAAAATTGAGACTTTACCCTTATTGTACAGTACATATTTTTCACCTCAAATTTTCTACTAATGTCAACATATATGAATTGTGATTTTATATAATTTTGCATACATCAAGTAATTATATAAAATAAATTTTCTCCTATATTTTTGTTTAGTTTATTATTATTATTCTGCTTTTGTTAATATTTTTGGAGGATTTTTCAAAAATAATATTTGGTTTTTTTAATTCCTTAATCTTTGAGTACTTTGCTCATGACATAATTATTATCAATATTTAATTGTATTTCTAATAAAATTATTTTATATTACGATTAAAATAAATCTGATTAAAAGGTACGTGTTAAATATTGATAAATGAGCTCTTATCATTTATGAACAATGAATGAATGTTTTGTGTGTTTAAAATGTAAATAATTCTGGCAATTAAAAACAAAAAGTTTTATTGTGTAGTACACACATTTATTTTACTAATTACTTACATTGAATGGATCTTCAAACATAATGTTTAAATTGTAATTTTCAAAATAGTAATAAACCTTAAAAAAAGTTTCAAACATTTGACTCAAGGGATTGCTAACTTTCAGAGTAACAAATTCCAAATACAATGTGGAAAAAAAACAGCAATTTGAAAAAGTGATGATTAAAGGAAAACTTACAAACTTTTTTTCTTCCCTTGATTATGATGACAACGATGAGACAGCCAGATGGCTGGGGCAGTCAAGTCTTAACCTATTACTATGGATATCTATGATCAAATCTGGGTGAGCAACCCAAGGAATTTTTCATGTGCATTTTGTTCCAGATATGTTGGGCCCTGTTTCTCACCATCCTGTTGCTCTCATTGTGAGCCTGGCCAAATCCATGATGAGTGATTAAAACAAACCTTCTTAATGCCCACAGGTTGGAAAGAGAAAAAATTTAAAAAGCAAACTAGCAAACAAATCTGAAAATAATTCAGATTACAATTAAGGATGCCAACTTTCCATGAAGAATGAGTAATGATTAAAAAATCTCCTTTTATTTTTCAGAACATTTTCAAACAGTTGACAATCCTATTGACTCATCATGTTTATAAACTATAAGTGAATTTTTTAAATTATATTTTTAGTTTCCTGCAAATATTTTTGCATTTAAATGTAATATTTTTGGAATAAATCAATTTTGATAAGTATAAAATTTAGTTAACAGAAAAATTTATAAACAATAAATAAAGAAGGGTATTAAGACTCTTATAATAAATTTCAAAATATTTGTATCAGAATAGGAAAAAAAAATCATGATATATGATTGAGACTTATTAATTTCCTAAAATTTTTCTTAATATTTATATACTAAATGATTAAAACTCTTAAATAATTGTCTACATTATTATATATCAGAAAATTTATAATGTAGATTCATAAAATACTAGAACAAAAGCCCCTTTTGATGGCTGAATTAAGCTGGAACATCTTATTAAATTAAATAAAACATTTCATATTGAAAAAAGTTCAATATAAAAAGCACAACATATGTAATGTATAATTAATAACAAAACAAAGAATATTAAATTTTAATCTATTACACTCCATTTTAAATTTATCTTTACAAACTTTACATAAATTTTTATTTTAAGCCAATAATTGAACTTTGTGTCAATGGAATATTGTGGTGTTGTATCTTTAATTATGCAAACTTATATTTTTATCCTAATTTATAAATTATAATAAATTTTCAATGTTGAAGTTGTGTAATAAAATCGGTTTGATTGCTTCAAGGTATAAAAAAAATTAAATAAACATAAACAAAAAAATCATGATTGAAACGTTTATTTAAACTTGTCAGAAGAACTTCACACTTTCTGTCTTCAAGATACTTTTTAAAAATGCCATTGCATTTGGCCAAATGATGCAATTAAGGGTTTGACATACCCAAATCAGTTCAACTAGACTCAAACCTGGATATCCCAAACATCAGGATGGTGATTTTTACTATCTTGACCAACTAACCACTGTTAAAATGAATTGTATGATTAGAGAATCAAAATTTTTAGCATTTTTAAATGTTTTTGTGTATTTTCTTTAAATTTCCTTAGAGTAAACAAGTTAATCTCTTAACAATGATTTTTTACCATTATATTACTTGTATATCAATTAACAATGTCCACATAAACCATAAAAATTATAATTATCTTTATTGTATATAAATTATTGAGATATAAACATGTCTAAATATTATATAAAACTAATTTCTTACCAATTATAATATATATATAGTATTTTTGTATGTTGATTAAGGTTTTTAATCTTTAGATGATCAAATATTAGAAGTGAATGGTGTTCAGTTTAATAATGTGCCATATTATGAAACCGTTGATTCATTAAGAACTAGTCCCAAAGTAATAAATGTATTAGTGGAGAAGACTTTGGAAAATGAAGAGGAAAATTCCAGATCCGAATTACATATCGATGACGACGACTGTGATGAACTAGATCATTTTTATGACAGCAACATGAAAAAGTGGCAAGTGACTCGTTCTAGTAAGGACAGGCTAACAAAAAGCAGTTCTTGTGAGATTTTGTCTCGCACAACAAACTTACATTCCACAAGAGAAACTTCACAAGAAAAAAGTGATGCTTCCTCAGATCAACGAACCGATGGGACAGATTTGTTAGATCGCATGCAAGGCACAATTCCGATGCCAGTTTTAAATTGTGATAAAATGTGCATAGAAGATGATCAAGTCAGTTGTGATACTTCCTCAGGAATCAGTACTGGCAGCAGTTCTTTATTTCCTTGTATTCAAGAAGAAAAGATTGATTCCAGTAATAGTTATAGAGTCAGCATTGAAAAATGCACCTTGCCACTAATAACCAAAAATGAAATCCCACATTTAGAAAGAAACAGAGATTATTTTAATAAAGAAAATAATTTATTAAATAATACAACTGTAAAAGCATTTAGTTTACCAGACTCTAATCGAAATACTCCAGTTACTATAACTGAGGCAATCCAGAATGGAGGATATTTATCAAAAGTTTATGATTTGGGTAAGTTTGCATTTTATATGTTGTATCAAAATCAGATTTAGTTAATTTTAAGAAAACAAATTAGTTATAATTTAAAACTTTCAATGCCCCTTTCAGATTTCATGTTTTTATTTTTTCAATATTCAAAAACGTGACTGTCATGTCCACAGTAAATCAGTTTGTTTGATTCCATTTTATAAGAAAACTACATCATAAAAAATCATAGCTATTTAACTTGATATTATATTTGCTATTTGAATGTAGAGATATTATTATAATTACTTGTAATATATGCAAAAGTAATCTCAAATACAGAAACAAAACAGTAAAAACTAAGCTAGAACAAAGTAAAACAATTAAAACTATGAGTGATGCTTTAATGGAGTATATTAGCAACCATTTCATAACTCACTCTTCTTTAAAAAATAATTTTTTAAAATTTTTTCTTTGTTTAATTTGAGTAAGATAACTCAAAAGTTCAAGGTATATAATAGTTTTTTATATACTTAGTCATACCATTCCATATCACTTATTTTATAGTTACATTTATAATAAGTTGCTAACATAAATAAAATAGAAGTGGAGGGAAAAACAGTATTTGAGAGACATCACTGAAAGTTCATATCAGTAATGAATGACAAATTCAGAGGTTTGAGGTATGTGAAAGTTTTATTTCAATTCTAGCAATTTTATGTGGTGTTTAGCAGCAAATTATTGAGTTTATTTGTTAAATATTTTATTAATAAATAAAGCATTTTGAAATGATAAAATATAATTAATTTTCTTCTCATTTATTTTTGAGTATATGCCATTTTTGTGGTTATCAAATTTAAATAAAATTTCTTGATTCTTACAATAATCTCCATCATCATAAATATTAAATATTTGAAATATGTTACATTCTTACTTTCTTAACAAAAGAAAAAAGGGAATAGCAAAAGAGCTTCCATATAAAAGATTGTTTATTAAAGAGCACACATTTAATATGCTAATATTTCAGTCAAGTGAAAATTATATTATTATTAAGTTTGAAAATGCTCTTAGTTTGTAAGAGTTATTTTGTTTGTATTGTGTACAAATAATCAGTAAGTTTTAATAACAAAATACAAGAAATGAAGGTTAAACTTTGTCATTAATTTGTAATCTACCTTACAATAAGTTATTAAAAAAGGCTTCTGCTTTTGTAATTAAAACAATTTAATAATATACATAATTTGAATCAAAATGGCAGACCGTATGCCATTTTGATTCAAATTATGTATATTTTTAATGAATTGGCTTATCATCAGCAAGCTTTTAATTGTTTTACATCATTGTGCAGAGATGTAGCCTCCAATAAAAGGTAGTATCTGCAAAATTTGAAGACTGTTTGATGATTAGACAGGATGGATGCTACAAGACATTTTAGTTTTCTGCTATATAATTTTTTTGAAATAGTAATTCAGATAAACAAAATAGCCAAATTTTTCTAGATACTTTGACTCAACATGCTGCTTTTTATATACCAACATACTGTACCATTGGAATGATGAAATGTTGTAAGCAATATTTGAATACTGTTATCCCCAGTTAGCATAAAAAAAACATTTGATTTTGTAATTCTGAAGTTATTTATTTGGAAGACAGTTTATCTTAAAATGTATAGAGGAGAAGGTGGTATTATGGAACACTGCAAGTATTATGGAACCACCCCTTTTCGAACTGATAATAAAGGCAAACTGCAGCGGAATGTGGCTGAACTGAACTAGGCAGACATCCATAGCAAGGAGAAAACCCGTTTTACTTCAGTTAAACAGTTGTTCGCATTTAATCAGCAAATTTGTTTTTTTCAAAATTCGCAAGTTTTGAATGCTAAGTGAATTTAATTATTTTTAAAATAAAAATCGTGAAGTTGTAGGTTCACTGATGCATGTATTCCGTTCCAGAGACTTAGGGGTACATATTAATCTGTGTGATGATCAAGTTTTTTAAAATTTGGTCTTGACAGACATAAGTTAATTCGAGATGGCGATGAGTGAAATACGGACCCCATTGGTGCTTTTACAGTAATATGGAACTCAACTCCTTCGAACTTTCTATTTGCAAGGACACATTCCTCCGGAGCAATTTGTGAAAAAGACACTAGGTAGAAAGTCAATTCTTCCTAAGAATATCGAAAAAAAGCTGCTGGAATATATATTGTTGATGGAGGTCATATTTTTCTATTATAAAAGCATTTTTGCGATAAAATACATTGGAGTAAATAATTTTGTAATTATTTAACATTTTTTGTCCTTTCCTATTTGTTTTTGGCTACATTAAAGCATTTTTTTGAAAATATACAGTAAGGTTCCATATTACCACCCGATTTTCTCTAAGCCTACTTTCGGACTTTTTGTACAAAAGCCTTCAAAAACCATACTTATAATTACACTAGCGAAAAATCCAATTAGGAACATTTAGTTTACTAGTTACCAGTACTTTTTGCACAAAAAATGTGGGTGTAGTTATGATACCTTGTTTACAATTCACTAAAATGTAATTGGGGTTCCATAATACCACCTTCTCCTCTATCTGATATACATTATAGATTTCATCTGAATTCATTTTTCCCCTAGATATTTCAAAATTGTTATAATATTTTATACTAGTGGTTTATGTGCAAGTTCTAACTGATTAATTAAACATAATTGTAACTTAAACTATTGTTAAATTTCGGTTAATTTGGTTAGAAAATTGAATGTAATAAAATAATTCAGTAAACTTATTTTAGAAATCTGAGAGAATTATGATTTTGAATTTACTGTTTTATTATGTTAAACTATTTCAGATTTAACGACAGCACCAAAAGTACCACAGAGAAGGTTCAGACAATTAAGGAAAGTGGAAGATATTTATAAATTTATAACAAAAGGTTATTGTTAATTTAATTTTTTGTTGGTAATTATTAATGTACATTGTTGACTTGCATAGTTCATTTCTAAGGAGAGTAGAGAGTATTTAGAAAAATCTGAAATCTTAAATTCAAAAGGCTTATTTCAGAGTTAGCTTTAGATAACGCTCATTAGCAAAGAGATTATCAGTGACTTTTTTTTTTTTTTTTTTTGAATGGACAGTTTCAAGAATCTGTCTTTATTACTAAGGATAATTACAATTTTGTAAATCACTTTAAATATTAGGTAAAAAGTTATAAAATTTTTATAATTACACACTTGTTCATTAATTAAAACATTTTTAAATCTTTAGTGTCATTTCTCTGATCATGTGAAGATTCTATTCATAAGATACATTGTAGTAAAGTGTACTTAAATTTAAATAAATAACCCTATAGCAATTCAGTAAAATAATAGTGATATTGCAAAAGTAATATAAACTTTTATTTTTTGCTTGCATTCAATATAAAATGATAAAAATTTAGAAATATGCATCAAAATATCTTATTTGTTCCATAAATGACAATAACTAGACTCTATATTTAAATAAATAAAAACTTAAAATTTACAATAATGCCTAATTAGAGATATATTTTGATATATAGATCTATACTTCATGTTGGTAACAAAAGTGATTCCAATAGAAACAAATTATTCCAAAACTAAAACCTAATTAATTAAGCATTTTCTGTCAGAAAAAATAGAATAGTGAGAGACTTTGGGACTTGTCTAAACTGATAGAAAGTAAACCAGGATAAGTAAATAAGATTACAATTAGTGGAGGTTCTGGATTTACTGATTCTTATATTAAAAGTAACTTAATCTTGTATTGTTTGCCTGCTATTATCTTTAACAACAATTAATGCATTGTTGAAATAAGAAATTCCAACAACTGAAACCTACTGTATTGTGAGCAAAAAAGATTAAGACTAGTTTCAAGCATTGGTCAAGATTGATAACAATTGTATATTATCAGATACACGTTGAGGCCAAAGTGTGAAAAGACAGGTTAAATACACTTATATACCCATATTTTTTTTACCTGTATTTTCTTTTGGGACTTCCTAATTTTGATAATATTAAATGACTGGTGGTGATTACAATAAGCAGTGTCTAATTTTTTTAAATACAATATTTTACTGAAACATAAGATATTAAGATATTTTAATTTTGACACATTCTGTGTATAGATTAATTTTTCTTATAATAATGTAAAATTTTTCAGAAAATACTTTTGATGTTCATATCAGAAAAAGTAGTCGTGGTCTAGGCTTGAGCATCTGCGGAGGACGTGATACTGGTGGGAGGGGATGCATAAATCAGCTGATCCGCATACGGAAATTATACCCCCTTCAGCCCGCCATGGAGTGTGGGAAGTTGAGAGTCGGCGACGTGATTATTGAAGTAAATGGGAAAAGCACATTGAACTTAACCCATACTGTGAGTTAATTATATTTTAGAATTATAAGATAAAAATAAAAGTTTGTATTATAAAAAAATTTTAAACTTTTAGGAAGCTTTGGATGCATTAAGAGCCGCTCCCATTAATGTGACATTAAAAATCCACCGTCCCGACCCAACAATCATTCCTAGTCTGCCTCTGAACATGAGGGTAAATAATTGCATTGGGTTAAAATATTAAAAATTTCAGTAAACTTTCATATTTTATGTAAATATAACTACAGTTAAAGATAATTTCTTTAAAAATAAAATTGAGAGTACTATTTTATTTTTAATCTACTTCATTTTTATATATATAGAGTGGTCATAAAATAACTTAACCACTAACAGTGATATCAGAAGTGCAGAAAGTGAGGAATCCACTGAAACTTTTGCAGGATAAATACAGAGTAACACACGCTTGCGATACATGAAAATTGGAGTAGAATGTGTGTCATGGTTATGGTGACACATGTTCTACTCCAATTTTCATGTATTGCAAGCGTGTGTTACTCTGTATTTATCCTGCAAAAGTTTCGGTGGATTCCTCGCTTCCTGCATTCCGACAATCGTCATTAGTTGGTCAAGTTACTTGATGACCACCTTGTATATTAGAGATAAAAACAATGTATCTTTTAATTAGAACCCATTTTGACAGTTTATGTTCACTCTAATTTGCTACATGCATAGATTTTGTAAATTGCTTTATCAATAACATAATTATCAGCTTCTTTGCAGATTATATTTTATAACAAAGTAACAATTTCGTTAATTTAGGACGATTCCTGTCCATCATTTTCTTTGGAGTCTCCATCGTCGTCTGTACACAATACTTTGTCCAGAAGCAGTAGCATAAATAATCATTCTGCTAAAGTATGTTCATAAATAAATTTTGCTTTATTTATTAACAATTAGTAGTAATCACTAAACTATTGGTATATGTAGTAGTAAATCCATTAAAATCAGATTTTAAAATTAATTAAAATAATAGTAAAACAGTTATTTTCTAATTGGATGATAGTATGTGCATGTGTAAAGTGCACAATTTAAAGATACAGGTATACCTCGACTTATGTCGTTTCGAGTTACGTCGTTCCTGATTATACATCATTTGTTAAAAAAGTATACGAAAAAATAAAAATCAGGTTTAAGTCATTTTATTCGACTTTACGTCCGTCCGCCACAAATATTGAAGTCGTAATATCACTAGAAAAGCGTTTAAAGCACATAAAATCATATTAAAATATATACATTTACAAGTATGTACTGTATTTACGGTATAGTACATGCATTCGTAAATTTAGATTACTTTTTTCTGTACTCTATTAAAAACTAAAATTTATTTGTTTGTGAGCTTAAAATAGATTCTTATTAACCATATATTATTGAAAATGCATTAATAAATAAAATACAGAACTGGGAATAGTAATTTATGGTTTTTCCTAGTGACAAGTAGATTCGGAGACAAGTAAATTCGACTTACGTCATTTTTCGACTTAAGTCGTTTTCCTGGAACCAATTACCGACGTAAGGCGAGGTATACCTGTATTAAATTTAACATTTTGAATTTTCATATAAAAAATGGTAATAATATGTTGCTGTGATTTTTTATGATACAATTCTGTCTCCAGGTTCTTGGCAGTTCTTCACTGTAAATTTCTATGAAATTTTGTTATAAATTTCCAGTGCCCTAATATTGCTAATTTAAAGCATGTTCTATACTTATGGCAAAATTATTAAGTTTATAACTAGCAATAATACAAAATCTTTGCCAAGATTTTAATAGCTAATTAAGCTTTTATCAGAAATATGTAGAATGTACAATGTTACCAGTTTCACTTTGAAGTTGATTAATTCCACGATGATTGTTTTCAACAATTGGTGCAAGTTACATACCAAAAAACTAAGTGAAGACCAGACAGCTGAGTGTTATGATGTTAGCATACTGCCCTGGGAAACTTGAGAAAAAATCCCAGAAATTTTTTGGTCCCATCCCTCATCACATAGTCGCCCTATTGGACCTGGCTGAATTGATGATGGACCTGATAAAAGGCTGTCTTATCACCCACAGGACAGAAAGAGTAAAACATAGCTAGTATGTTTTACAGTTTCTTCTAAACAAAACATTATTGCCTTGTTATAAATTATAATATAGTAATGATAAGACAATATCAATAATAAGACAGTCATCTGGAGTCAAAATGATAAAAATACCATCTCAAGGACCATCAACAGAAAGTATGACCCTAAGGAAATGTAAAAACTGATGATTAGAGGTCAATATTAATTTATATTTAATCTCAACTAAATTTGCATATTAGTGTGTAAGTGCTCGTCTGTAACAGCATACATCATCATTGATATATGTTATGTAACTCCCATAAGCCAGAATTATTTTCTAACGGCTATTCTCCAAGACTCGAAAGCAACGGACTTGGAGCTAACTAATCTTTTGGAAAGCGAGAGCTCAATTTCTGATAAAAACTAGTTTCCGAATTCACTTTTGGTCTGATGAAGTTAGATGCCTGGGAAAAAGTTTCATGTCACACACACAATTGAAACTTAGCATACTCGCTGCGTCAATTAATCAATTATTTTGGATAAAATCACATAAAACTAATACAACGAAGCAATTTCCATGAAAATTCCACTATGACTACGAACCACGCCTCTTAAATATACATATAATTAGCTGTTTTTACACGACAGAACAGCATCCGAAGCGACGATAATTGATTTGCATTATTCGTAAGGCTAAATTGATTTAGTTTCGTTTAATAAGTAAAAATAAAAACAAACAAGATATCTTTATAATTAATTTTATTAGCTCTATCCAATGCTTAATTTAATTCAATGCACTCAGAGTTACGTTAATCTACGCTCGCTATTACGGACTTTTTTCATTTGTTTGGTGGAAAATATTTGGAGAAAAAATTCATAACGTTTGCATATTTAAAGGAATTTGAAATCGTCATCGAGAAACATGAAGGAAGTTTAGGTTTCACCGTGTTGAAGAGGGAACAGTGCGAGAGCACCTTTCCCGGATTGTTCGTAAAAGATTTAATTCGAGAACCTGCAAAATCCGACGGCAGAATACAACCCGGAGATCAGATATTACAAGTAATACTCTCGAAGTAATTAAGAACGTTGTTTTTAAGTTATTTACATGCGTAATAATCAAATTTCTATTAGGTTAACGGTACGGACATGTCAGAACTTAGTCACGCAGAAGCCATCAGTTTCCTCAGAAGTGCACCGAACGAAGTAAAGTTAAAATTATCTAGGCACGTGGATCCTCCGCTTTCACCTCTATCCGGAGACGACGAACCTCCCCTGTCCAAACCATTGAGAAGAGAAGCTGTGGAATTATTAAACGATTGGGCCAGACAGAAAGAAAATGATTCGCCCGGTAAGAAAAGAGAGCGCAGAAGAGTCCGAACAAAAGTCGACGATAGTTTCAGCAGTTCCGGAAGCAGAAGTAATTCGTCTTCTGTAAGTCAAGACAACACTTTTCTTATAAGCGATAGCGATAACGTCTTATCAGAGGAAGAACTAACCAACGACAGCCCGGGACTAAAGAGAAATTTGCGTCCCAAGTCTCTAGACATTCTTAGCTCGTTTACGAGAAAACAAAGGTTAGCCAACTTTACTTCCGCAGAAGACCAATCGACTTCTTTTCGTCGTCAAACCAGCGTTAAAGTCACCAGTTTGGACGCTCAAACGTCGATGTTTCCGTCGAACGAGGACGAAGGGAATACCAAGAAAAATCTCTTGAAGTGGAGAGGAACCATATTACCGAAAACCGGTTCCGAATCCGAAAACGAACTAAATTTGGGAACGTTGGAAGAGAAAAGAGAAGATTCTACTCGGCAGATTTCCGAAGATGCGGTAAGCCTTCGTTTTTTAATCATCCGTGCTTTAAAATGGCAAACGCGATTTATACTATTTAACTTTTATAGGTCCAGTTTATAGAAGTGCAGCTGGATAGAGGATGGCACGGCCGATTAGGTTTTAGCATTTCCGACCCCCTGACGGAAAATATATTGCCTAACGGACCGGAAGTAAAAATCGTACACGAAGGCAGTTTGGCCTCTCGGGATGGAAGAATTAAAGCTGGAGATAGACTAGTTCAGGTAATTATCGTTTAATTCCAACTCTTTCGGACCCACAATTTCCCAACAAAAATATTCGATTAAACCATTCAAATGTTTACAAGTTTGGTGATTGGAGATTTTAAATGTGTTTTTTTTTTTCAATTAATATTCGCACGCGAAACGTTACCGATTGGATGATATTTCATTTGTAAATTAACACATCTTCAAATCCTAGCAAATTAGAATATATATATGTCAATTGACCTATTGGATTGGACCGCCGATGGTCCTATCCAATATTGTGTCTTCGACGTTCTCGTGTTGCAATTTAAAATAATAATGTTTAATCGATGATAAGGCAATAGGAAAATCGAATTATTCTTTAATTAAGAACTCAAAAATGCTGTTATTTAAAGTAAAGCGAAACAAATTAATAAAAACAATTAAAAACAAAAAGCACGTCACGACTCCGTCGGACCATTAATTTCAGGAATGGAGGTTGGGCCTAAAACATTTGACTTTAATGGTAATACATCCCGTACAGAAAAACGAAACGGCACATTCGAAGGAAAACTACTCGAACACAAAGCCCATGATTTTTATTATATTTGTATCCGAGATGAAATCACTGTTCGAGAATTTACCAGACGATTCAAAATGTTGACGGTAGATTTTAAATGCGTGGCTTTCTATTAAATAACCGTTCTGGATGAATATATTTAAATTGCTTTCCAAATATTCCTTGATTAGTGGAGTGATGTTATAAGTATTATCGTACGCAGGTGAACGGAGAAATGGTTACAGAAAAGCCAGCATCGGAAATCATCGACGTTCTCCGCAAAACAAGAGGTCTAGTCAACATGATATTTGCCAGGTTAGTGAAACGCAATAGACAGCAAAATTAAGGGACTGTCCATAAATTATGTCTGCATTTTTCTTGACATTTTTACTCCCATCCCCCATTTTCCTTGTTTGTCCAAGTTCCCGTAACGCCCTCTCCTCTTCGGACGTCCAACAAAACTCAACCCCCCCACAAAATCTTTATCACTTTGAGTAATAAAATATATAAACTGTAAAATTTAATGAAATAAAACGGACGTCAATTGAAGTTCAATCCCTCCCCTCCCTCTCTTCCAGTTTGTACACCATTTATGGACAGCCCCTAACGGAAATATTTCCTCCATTCGACTAATATAATTCGTTTGTCTTTAGATTAATAAAATCGACCAATACAGAAAATGCCACGTAGTTAACGGAAGTACTTTGCTAGTCATTAGATACCGATGCCGTGTGGGAACGTCAGTTGCCAAAATATACACCTTAGCTCGGAGTAGAGGTAGTCTTCCGACTTTATTTCTAGTTTTGACAATAACTTATCGTCCCCTAATTACATTTATTTTGAGACTTTACCCGGAATCTTGTTACCAAAAAAATTTATTCTATATACCAAATATTTATCTATAATATTAATAATAACAATAATAACGGAAAGAAATGTTGCCAAAGATTCGGATTTTCTCCCGAACGACTGCCCCGTTCCAGTTCTTTGCAGTGCCAAAATCTTAAAAGTATACGCAGAAAGAAATAAAAAAAAATCCGCGCTTTAATTCCGTCCGAGAAATCATTCCAAATCACTTGTTTTGTTAATATTTTTGGTTTCGTTTATTTATCCGATCGTCGTTAGTTTACGCCGGAGGAAAGGCCCCGCATTTTGTAACGTTTGTACTTATTCGACCCTCGATAACCTACGTCATCAGTATTGTATAGTTTTTTAACTTAATCCCCCGCTATTTAAGTACAATAGTGTCGTTAGTATCCGTGTTTCGCCCGATGGTTCGCTAGTAGAGAGATGTTTTAAATGTTGCCAAGAGTATTTTAAAGAGTTGTTGTATATTCAGATAGTAATGTAAATAAACTTATTATTCATTCTTGTTCTCCATCATTTCAATGAGCCGTTCGAAAATGCGAACACGCACCGATTCTTAACATACCGAAATTGTTAAGGGAGAGTAACAGTCTTACGTTCTTCCTTCTATGGATTCAGCCTGTATGTAGAATTGGAAAACACTGTAAAATGAATGCAATTCATTTAGCATATTTTAAATACTGTACAGTACCTCAGCTAGGATAAAGTTTATCGCAAGAAAATCCACTCACGCACAAACACACACAAACCTGTATATATAGAATTTTGTTCCCTTTGATTCAGAAGAAAAACAACAGAGGACCTTTAAACGTTAAGAACTGCAAAAAACCCGGAGGAACAAAAGTTAACTAATTACAATACTTTGTTCTATAACAGCCGGTAAAGTTAAAAATTTAAGACCAAAAACACGTTTACAATACGAATACTGTTTTGTAAGTGAAAGAAGAATTCTATAGTAACTTATGAGAATCAATTCTTTATTAAAGAAATGGTTTTCCATCGAGTAAACCTCCAGTTGAGTCAATATAGTTGCTTCGGAGTTAGAGATGGCCCTAGGATTTGCGAGGCCCTGGACAAACTTTATTTTTAAACCCATTAAAAGGTCGATGGGTACATGATGATACTGTAGATCTAAATAAATCTATGAACGATTTTTATATCGTGGATATTGAACCATATGTGGCTGTAACTACGAAGTCGGAATTTCAGAAAAAAAGAGATTTCAAAATTAGACCAACTTTCAATTGTCCACCAAAACTTTGCTAACTACGTATGGTCCCAAATAGAATGTGTTGAATGTAATATGGATACTCTATTACTGAAACACTGCAAATTCCAGAGTTAGCTGCTTATGGTTCTAATCCCACGATATAGACGGCCGGATGGCCAAGCGGTCACGGTGGCAGCCTACAGCTCTGGGAAGCCCGGGTTCGAGTCCGGATATGTCGGGCCCCGTTCCTCACCACCCGGCTGAACCCACAATAGGCTTGCTAAAAAGAGGCCCTCTTAGTGCCCACAGGACGGAAACAGTTAAAAAAAAAAAGACCCACGATATATAAACAGACAGTAAAACACACAGAATTATATACAATAGTTTCACAACGAATTGGAAAATACACTAGGTAGGTACAGAAACTCGCCAAAAAGTGAAGTTTTATTTTTAGGCAAAAAAGGCAACTCCTATGTGAGGGCCTCATTTAGGACGATATCGATAAGGTCTGCATAAAATGTTTTCTGTTCGGAGGTCAGTTTGTTTTCCTAGAAGAAGAAAGATGAAGAAACGAATATATCTACCTACGGAGCAAGTGAAAACTTAAAGGTACCGTGTAGTGTGTGTGTGAATTTTCGGAGTAATGTTGGATATTTCGCGGAAGAGGAATTCTTTGATATTATTATCTGCAAAATCATGTGATAATGCAATTAGAGATATCAAATATCAAACGCAAGAATCCGGTACCGCTAATTTTCCCAGACTTGCGGAATGTTTGGCAAGAAAATACGAAAAAATCAGCCAAAAGTAAAAACTGTCTCCCTAGTTCTCATTATTATCCAACTTAAATAGTTTTTAAATTTGTTTCGTAATAAGAACGAAAGACCTGACGAAAAATAAAAATCGAGTCTATTAAAGTTTCTTAATATTTAGAAGATTCTAAATTTTTCGATAATTTACGGTGAACTGGATTCATTTTACACAACGATACATGTTGTCTAATAAAGACTGTTTATATTTTCAGACTTATAACAAAATCTGATTACAGATGGCGCCCCACTCAATTTATATTTTTGCTTCATAATATAAAAGTTGAGTTTTTATTTAAAAAGCAGCCGGGAAACTTACGCAACTCGTTGCTAGATATTTTTATACTTGGTACATTCAAATCGTCGGCTTGCGAAAGTATTTTCTTATCAGATAACGTTTGCACAAACTCATTTAAACATAAACAGTATAGGATTTAATACACATCCCTGCGTTAACATGTAGAATTTATCGGAATTTTAATATTCACGGAAATGCGAACTTCTTAATCTAATTACAAACAACTGTTATGGGAGGAGAGTAATTAGTTCGCATTGAATGTAAGTCAATAACTAAGAAAACAAATCCAGCAACAAGTTGCTTAACTTTCCTTGCAACATTTGATTAAACTTTATATTTTTAACTGTTATAAAATGGCAAAAAGCTTACTTTTGAGGGCAGGGATGAGTTATAAAAATTGTAAATGCTAATAACGAGTAAAATCGTCATTAAGTTCGACCCTACCTATCTCCCCACTCCCTCAAACTTTCATCACTAAAATTTAATAGCATCAATACCCCTAACAAACAAACCTCCCTGCAAAATTTCAGAAATATTTCACAAAAAAGTAAAGGAGTTAAGCTTCCAAGAGGTTGAATAAAATCGTGTCAGACATACTAACATCCATACATACAGGGAGAAAAACGATTTTTTTTTTTTTTGCATTTCTCGACGTTTCAAGGTGTCCTGAGCCAAACATTAAAAATGTTCGGGTCATTTTTTGACCGATCGCCATACTATCCCTCATACATAACATCCGGGAAAGTAAAAAAAATACGAAAAATAGATTACTGGAACAATAAAAACTTGAAACTATTGTTATTCATTTTTATATTTGTTCTTGGATGCAAATGTTAATCCGGCCTTGAACACAAGAAACAATGCATTAATTTCATATTATCTTAAATGGGTACACAACCAAAAAGAAATGATTTTATTTCACCACGTTTGAATGGAATAGAAAATTTAATGACTAAAAACATCCAACCAACATTATAAGGCTTCTCACGAAAACCCTCTTCTTGCCAAATTAAATAAATCTCAAGTTTGGAGACAGGTAAGTCCTCGTCTCTAATATATACTGTATATAAAAAATGCAATCTGAAAAGAAGTCAAATTGCCAAGCCTTACAATTTCGAGTCGATACGCGAAAACTGGAAAAAAAAATCGTCCCTACTTTTGTTCCGTTATATTTTTGGACTGCGATTTGAAAAAATCATAGATCTATAAATTCCCACTGTCGTCCGTCCATCTTTCCTTAATCTCTAGAACGGAGTTATATACGTGAACGCCGAGACCAGAAATGGAAAACCGTAGGGACAGGAGGCCCCTATTGACTATAAATGAAGATCTGGTGCAAACTGAAAGTCACGTTATTTCAATTTGAAAATTCCCCCCCCCCAACGGAGTTACATACATAACCGGCACGACTTTATTGCTAACAGGAATAGTATGATGTACAGGGGCAAAATACTACACTCCACGCAGGCAAGTGTTGTGTGCTACCTGTTGTTGTAATGGTGCGTCTATTTTGTGCTATATCAATGTCGCAGTAATTAAGAGAATAGAATTATAATTTTAAATACCGTATATATACAGTAGAGCGTCGATTTTCCGAATCAATTGGGGACTGGGGTTGTCCGGATAACTGATTTACGTACGAAAAAATAGTTTAACGTATCCGATGTCGAAATTTTTCTCCGTTGCATGTCGCTTCGCGTTGAATTTTCGTCGATGTTAAGCCTAACAAAGACTATTGTATCGTTAAAAATTATTTTTTTATTTTGTACGAACAAAATAAATATATTGAAAAATATAAAAATAATAAAAAATTATACTTCAGATGTTAATTTAGTATCAAAAACGTAAAATATTTGAGTAGCCCAAGACATAGCCAAAGATTGAAGCGCCACAGCACTGGCGAAAATTGAAATTTGCCGACTGGAATTCTTTCGGATGATTGACTTTCGGAAAATCGACGCTCTACTGTATATTTTTTTAAAATTATACTTAGTTTATTATTTTCTTAAAGTTTTGCCAATAGATGGTGCTGTGTGTAAATCATCAAATTGTATGTAGATAGAAATTAATTGATATATAGAAATCCAATAAATATTTTTGGGTGAGATATACGACATGACCTAAGTTGGAACGTATTTGAACGTAACTGCCGAGTTTCGTAGCAATTGGTCGAACGGCATAGGGGTACATAGCGAATGAACAAACGTCCTCAACTTATAATCGAGATGGGATGATGATGATGATGATAATAAGCGCAGAGCCCAAACTGTTAGGAGTTGAAATTTGGTACACAGTTAGAGTACTTCATGAGAATGTACACTAAGAAGGGATTTTCCGAAATTTTTCCCGGCGGGGGAAAGTTAAGGATTAGCCCGAATTCGGATTTTACTGTACTATTTTAGAAGCAGTTTTTTGCTAAAAATAGAACACATTTTTGGACCCATCTAAAAATTCTCTAATTAGTCTCGGAAGAGGGTGAACCTAATTCTTGCACCCGGTTAAAACGGATAAGATCGGCAATAATCTAATAACAATAATAATAATAATCTTGGCTATCGTTACTTTTTGCCCGAGCAACGCCGGGCTCATCTGCTAGTTTATATATATAGACAAATCGAAAGGCCAGATGCAGGCATCGGAGCATACTAAATAATAATATACCGAGTATTATACTGTAAAAATATAAAATATTGTTAATTTAAATAATAGCTAGTGGCCATTTTTGTCACACCGTGACAGAAAATGCCCAGTTTTTAAGCTTTATATAGTAGATTATTATTTTATTTCATATTTTAAAATTAAATTAAATATTTTGAGTTACTGAATATTGCCAGAAGAGGACGAGTATTTCCGGTTTACTATGAAGGCAAATTCTGGTCAGATCATCCTTTTTTATTAATTGATTAGTCACAAATACAGTAAACAGTTATTGCGATTTCATTGAAATTATACGGTTATATACGAAATTATTAAAACATTTCATTTATCTCCATATCTGCAGTTTAATAATTCTTGCAAATTTCACATTTTGATGCAGAAATATTTTTCAATATTTGCATATACTTTTGTAATGCAAATAAAATCTCGAATATTCTGCAAATTATATTTTTTTTTAATGGCGTCCACAGTGGCCGAGTGTATAAAACAACTAAACCTGCTAGTTGGTCCGGGAAAACACGGAAAAC